GCATGTATCCTGCTTCTCCAGTGTGCTGTGTGGTAGATGATCACTCTCTCTGTCTCTCTCTGTCTGTCTGGCGAGCGCACGCGCCCTATAGCGAAAACCTCTCCAAAAAAAAAAAAAGAAGTCAACTTTGTTTTCATTGAAAGTTGTAAGTCTAGAGGAAATAATTACTGAGCAACAGCCACTTCCAAACAGAATGGACAGTTTACATTCCTTCCATGATTCGATGGCGTACACATGATTTCTACCCTCGACCAACTCTTTAAATTGCCGATTTGTCGGAAATGGAATTCATATTAGGGTTACAGCACATTTGAATTGCTAAATAAGGGTTCTCATCTCAAAGGGATGGCATTTGTCTTTTCGTTATTGTCGTTGTCATCGTTCTCATCTTCATCAAAGGTTTTCGGCTCAAGTACACAGACTTTTTGCATTTCATTTTTGGTTTTCTATTAAGAGGAGACTTTTAAAAGTTCATGGAAGTTCATACACATTCATTTGATACAAAATATTTTTGGAATTCATACCTACTTTTTTCTAATAGGCACTTTACATGGACTTTTTGAAGACCCCTTAAGTTTGCCCTTGGACCTGTTTAAAAGTATGGAGACGTATTATGCATAATCTAAGTACAAAACCTGCCCTAAATAAACATTTATAAGAATATTATGTGAGAACATGCACAAACACATCCACATGCTTACACAACTATTTTCTTATCTACATGACATTTTATGTAAATGTTAATAAAATGGTACAATTTTATTTCACAAGTGGCAACATAGTTTAACATTAAGTGATTAATGTCTTCCAATATCACCCGGCTCCCATCAGTACAGAACCTTCGTACTTTTTATATGATTTTTGTTCTTTAAGATATATCTTTGGCACTCAGATACCTTGTGCTATTAGGTATCTGTTAACTCTTATGTTTCAATCTTCCTGCTGGGGTACTTTTATTTTTATTTTATGATTTTATTTAGTTGAGAGAATTGTTTAGTTAATAGCTTATATTATGTTTTATACTGCTAAGTAACACCAAAATTGTGTCGCTCCCTGAAGCTTTAAATAGTATCTCTTTATAAACCTCATAAAGACAAGTACTTTCCAGCTCATTTACAAAGGCAGCATGTGTGTTTTTCATTTGCGGTTTTAAATGTAAGCCATGAAGAGATGCATGTATCCTGCTTCTCCAGTGTGCTGTGTGGTAGATGATCACGTATTTATTTCTGTCTCACAAGCTCTGTTGTTGTTACGGCCTTGGCAGCCTTCTCTGCTTTCTCATTTCAAAGGTCATCGCTTGTAACCAATTTCATCAGAAACAAGGCCAGGGCTATTTGTAATTTGCACCGTTAAAACAGGGCCTCACCTTGTCACCTGGTGATTCTCCGGAATTATTACAATTGTGCCTCCACCTGTATTTCCCTGTACAGATGCGACTTCATTGTTGTGGTTGTTAGTGATGAGGTCTTTCAAAACATGCACTTTTCCAGGAGGTTAGAAATTATTTCCTTCTTTGTCTTTGTGATTTTGAACTCAGATACCTTATTCTGTTTCTGACATGGGATCTGAAACCACGGTGTTTAAAATGGGGTTTGCCTGTTGTAATACTCTTCCCACAATTTACATTTGTATGAGATCTTCATTCTAGGATGAACTTTTAAAAAAAAAAAATTTTAGATTCTTTTCATAGGGTGCATATACTCACTGGAGAGAGAGAGACAGAGAGAGGGAGAAATCACTCCCCATAGGAGGATGGTCACACTGCAATCCCTTGTCTTCTTGGGACTTTGGGCTTGCCCAGTGTGAACTTCAAGTCACTAGGTCTGGGACTCAAACTGCAGTTGGCCGTGTGAGAGTCCAGTACCGTACCCACCATGCCGTCTGCTGGCCCCATGGGATGGACTTCCTTAGCTGTGGCTATGGGTTGGTCGTGTGTGCAGTCTCCCTTGAAGTATGTGCCTCATTCAAATTTCACCTTAGCGACAAAGGAGCGTCTCTTTAATCACCTGCCCTTCTGCATACTCTGAGAAGAGAAGTGGAATGAAATATTTGTGTGAGCCTATGTTTACATCTCCTCATGATGAGCAGGACAGTGTAGAATATGCCAGTCATTTGCTGGGACCAGATTTGTTCATGCATTTTAAGTTTTCAGGCCCTCTATGTTGATCCTGCCATTACACGAGTTCATTAAGAGCCGAGTGATGCGTGCAGCTGGTAAAGCTGGAGGTGAAGGTGTCAGAAAACACACAATCGCACAGACAAAAGCCGTTCAATCTCTCTTTTCTCTGTCAGAATAACATTTTCAAGCCTCTGAGAGAATCACCTTAAAAATACACCTGAAATTTCTACAAGCCCTTGCATTTTCTTTTCCCATTTCCGCAAGGAATGTCACAGAACAGCATGCACTTAGAGAGCTGGCTACCGACTCCCGCCTCGGGATACCAGCACTCTCAAGACTGCGTGACACACGTGCCATGCACCCTGCTTGCACGGTGTGAGCAGGAAGGAAACATGGGCTTTTAGGGGGCATAAGAGAATCATGTAGTAGTTTCTCGATTTGCTTTTTCTCTGTCGGTGGCTTTTCTTGAGCTTCCCAAGGCTTACCACGATCACTAAGACAGTTCCGTTTTCCTGTTGGCCAACCTGTCCAGTGTCATGAAAGCACATGTCTGTCTCCTTCAATGCGTTTGATAAGCAGTTGGCTGACGCTTTGTTTGCATAAGCAGAACTCACTGGGCGCGTGTTTTTCTTGCTGAAGGTATCGCTGATGTGTTATGTGAGCGGCGTTGTAGAGCGAGTCTCTGAGCGCACATTTGTTGCAATGAGTGTGGTGATAAACACCCACTAGTGGGGACTGGGGTGCTGTAAAGCCTAATCTCTGCACACATTATTTTTGTATCGGGATATTTTTAATATGCTCGCTGACTATGCCCATATGCTTGGGAATTTTTGTCCTGTAGATTGCCTCATTACTGCTCACCAACACGTAGGATCGTGCTGGCCTGGCAGAAGGAGAACAAAGGTGACCCTTGGTTTCTGTGCAGACACCAACCAGCCAGAGAGCCACTCTTAGGGAACAAGGCCATTGCATTACCTTACAACCCAAATGGATGCTAGACTCTTACTATTTTGGTGGGGGAGGGGAGAGGTTTTTGCCATAGGGCGCGTGCACTCACCAGCTAGACAGAAAGAGGCAGAGAGATAGAAAGCGAGAAATCCCCCCCCAGGGGAGATGGCCATGCCGCAATCCCTTCTCCTCCATTCTCCTCTCGGGATCTTGGGCACGCACGCACACACACACGCCTGGCGTGAGTTTTAAGCCACCGGGTCTGGGATGTGAACCGTGGTCGACTACATGGGAATTCAGCGACATAGCCATTACGCTAACTGCTGGTCCTGACTCTTACTACTTTTGAAAATTATTATTGAGTCAAGGTCTGACACTGGCTTTCCACTCTACAAGAAAGTCAGTAACAGCCTTTCCTCAGAACATGGCTTGCACAATGTTGTGAAGCTCAGAGAGGAGACCGAGGCGAGGTTAGAGGCCTGAGTGTCTTGAGCAGGGTGACTTTCACTTGGAAAGATCAGATGTAAAAGGTGAGCTGACAGCTGTCAGCGAGATGTCAAAGCATCTGCGGCAACCGGGGTGCAGCGCAGTGTGCCTGATCCGGGATCTGAGTTTGATGAGAGGCGCGGCCAGCAGATGACACGCTGACCACAGTACAAAGCTGGGGGCTGGGGAGTTCTCCATGGGCTCTCAGGATCCTAGAGAAATGGCATTTCCTAATCAATAAGGTAAAATGTGTTTGTTGCCTAATGAGTTCAAATAGCTATTAGCTTTAAGATTCATACTGCTTTCTTTTTCTTTCTTTTTTAAAATTCCTGGGAGGCATGTGTGCCCACCAGAGACAGATGGAGGCAGGGAGGAAGTACCGTCCAATGAAGATAGCCACACCACAGTCCTCTTCAGGTCAAATCTTTATTTGGAGCACTCATGCACATGGGCCCAGCATGTTTTTCAAGCCACTGGGGCTGGGACTCGAACCACAGTCAGCGGTGAGGGACCCAGCTCTCTTAACCACTAGGCCGCAGGACTGGCCCCGGCTTATTCCTTTGATATGCACTTCCATTCCCTGTTGGGCTAACAGTGCCTCCTGTGTGCTAACCTCATCACAAAGTCTGTCCTTGTGGTAAAAGGAGAATCAGCCACATCTTATCCTCCTGCTAGACTAACATAGGTAGCTTACCCCAGACGTCACCAGATGGCCAACTTCCAAGTGCACACCCGGGACTTCCCCACTTTTGAGAGTTACTGGAGCAGTTTATATTTTCACTTTGTTTAGTGTTCACCTCTTCCCATCCTCTGAGCAGCCTTCCTCTCCTCCTATGGGCTGTACACAGGAGGGCTGACAATTGGCATCTGACGTCCACATTTCCCAGACTGCACTGGCAACACGGGAGGCCCAGCAGGTGGCATGGAGGCTAAGGAGGCCGAACCCCACATGGACAGCTGTATGGTCTGAGTCCTGGACCCAGCTTGAAAATCACGCCAGGCACATGTGCATGTGTGCCCAAAATCCTGAGAGGAGAATGAAGGAGAAGGGACTGCATCAGGGCCATCCTCCCACAGGGTGAATGATTTCTCACTCCCCCCCTCTGTTTCTCTCTGTCTCTCTCTCTGGCAAGTGCATGCACCCTATAGCAAAACTTAAAAAAATAAATAAATAAAATAAAATAAACAAGGAAAAAAAAAAACCACTGGAAAGGTTGATCCCTTCAGTTTAAACTACCTGCCAAAGCCAAAACACACCCAAGCCAAAACACACCCTCAGACAATTGAGTATTAGGGGCTCAAAAAGACTTTATGCCTTTTTTGTCAAAGAAACTTGAGAAACCACAGGATTTGCAAGCTGTTTCTAAGGCACTCTGTAAGCACTGAGATGGAGCCCATAGTGCTGTGCTGTGTTCCTCCCTTGCTAACGACCATGGTTTCCCCGCAGCCCAACTCCAGAGCGCCAGCGCAGAGCGGCCGCCACTCGGTGTCGGTGGAGGTGCAGATGCAGCGGCAGCGGCAAGAGGAGCGCGAGAGCTTCCAGCAGGCCCAGCGCCAGTACAGCTCGCTGCCCCGGTACGTGGTTGTGTATGGGCGTGCGTGGGCGTGCGTGGGGCGCACCCAGGGCAGCCGGCCCTATAGGACATGGCCTTCCCTCCCTGCCTGGGCTTCTCCAGCTTGAGCTGGGTCCTCACAGATCTGCAGACCAACGGTGACCATTGCTTAGCCTGGGGCCCCTCCTGCAGGGCAAGGGCACCAGAAAGCCAGTACTTCAGAAGCGGCTGGTGTGTTCACCTATGCTCCCCAGCCCAGAGTGGAGTGACACGAGAGAACTGGGTTTAGGCGTCAGAGCGGCTCTCGTAATGGTTCTGCTCTGCCTTTTTTCTTTTCTTTTTTTGCTGGGGTGGGAGAGATTTTTGCTATAGGGTGTGTGCTTGTGAGATTTGACAGAGAGAGATGGAGAGAGGTCAAGTGAGATCCCAGGGGAGATGGCCACACTGTAGTCCCTCTCTCCATTCTCCTCTCAGGAATTTGGGCATGCACGTACACACACCCCGCATGAGTTTCAAACTTGGGGGTCCGGGACTTAAACCATGGTCAGCCATGTCAGAGTCCAGCTCCTCAACCACTGTGCCACCTGCTGGCCCTCCACTACTTCCTACGTGGCTGCAGATAACACCATTTTCTCATCTGAGAAAATGGGAACATAAAACTTGCTTTGTTCAGCTTCAGAGTGTGGACAGAGTAGCTTTTACTCAAGTGTTCTAGTCCGTTTTGTTGCTAATAACAGAAAATGCCTCAAACCGGGTGATATACCCAGCTCTCAGTGCGGAGGTCCGAGGTCCAGGGCAGTGTCTGTTGGGGTCTCGCAGAGTCTGGTCATAGCAGGAGGGCAGAGCGGCTGTCCGTGAGTCTCCCTGTTCTGGTCTCACTCCCTCTCCTTACAAACCCACCAGACCTCTGTCCCCGGGGCTGTGCCCTAGTGGCCTTAATCTGAATCTCTCCCAAAGACCCCACCTTTCAACACCATAATCGATCAAGTTCTCCCCCTAGTAATCCCCTTACAATGGCTCTAAGGAGACATACTCCAACAAGGCACCTAGAACTCTAGCGCTCTGAAAGGACGGGGTGACGTGTGGGGTGACCACGCTCGTGCAGGGTGGGCTGGCCGACCCCTGCTCTCCTGCTGTGCAGCTGTGCTCACTGCGACCCTGAGCCCCTCAGTCCTGCCGGCTCCCATAGTGCATCACCTCCACCCCAGGACAGAGAGTGCTCGGAGACTGCGCCCTAACTGAGATCAGCCATTTTTCCATGAAAGTATTCTGGGCATGGTAAAGAACGAAAGTTTTTAAAAATATCTAGGTTTTCAAACAGCCACAGACAAAGTGCTCTTAGAGTCACAATTCTCTTTTTTTTTCTTTTTTTTTTTTTTCTGGAGAAGTTTTTGCTATAGGGCACATGCACTTGAAAGAGAGAAAGAGAGGCAGAAAGTGAGAAGTCAACTCCTGGGGGCTTGGCCATGCCACAATCCCTTCTCCTCTCAGGATCTTGGGCACGCACACACACGCGCCCAGTGTGAGTTTAAGCCACCAGGTCCGGGAATCGAACCGCAGTCGACTACATGGGAGTCCAGCAACGTAGTCATTATGGCAACTGGTAATGGCTGGTCCCAAGTCACAATTCTTAAAGGAATTTGTTGTCTTATTTTAAAATCAGGCAGCAAAAACCATTAGAGTGGAAAAAGATCTGTTTGGCACATTGACATAGACTGTTCTGGATTGGAGCAGAACGATTTTGGAGACGTAGCAAATGCTTACCCATTTATGTGAGGGGATTTCAAGAATTTCACAGAAAAATGGACTTAAGGTACAAGCTTATTTTGGTGCCAAAAGACATGCATCATTTTTGCATAATATGCATTTTCCAGGAACTCTTCAAAGACCCCACCCCCCGTATTAGACTGGCTAATGTTAACGTGCCCGGACTCAATTTCTAGTACAGACAAGTCCTTCTGTGTGTGAAACGTGCACTGTCGCAGCCACGCAGGGCATCGCACGTGAGGCGTGCATCTGATGGAGCACTGCGGCCATGCAGCGCTATCTAGCATAGCAGCTTAGCCTCGGTTCTTCCTCAACCCGTTACCTCATGACTCCTTTGAGACCTCAGCGTTTTCTCTTTAAAGTCGCTGAATTGCCCACAGACAAGCGTTTAGCCCACTCTGGGCAGCAGTCATTGCAGGGCAGGTCTGGCAGCACCTGGGAGATGTCTTGCCTTACAAGAAAACAGCTCAGAGAAATGAAGTAGCTGCCCCCAAGGTCACGCAGCTGGTGAGAAACTTGGCCAGAATTCCAGCCCGTGCCTGCCATGCCCTAAGCCATTATGTCATAAGGCCCATGGCGCCCGAGGGTTGATGTGGAAAGTGCCCAATGCCCTGAGTACCTGGGAGAGGGCTGTCCCATGACGCGATTCCCTGACACAAGCACTGAACAGTAGAAGGACATGCAAACATGTGAAACGCCTTCTCCCAGCCCTGTTCGGGTGCATTCCAGCAGAAAGGTGAGCATGATAATGGGCTGAGCCGACACACCCGAGGGCCCTCACATGCATGGGTTGCATGAATGGTGGTGTCGGTGTAGGGGGCCACGTCCTTGCTTTTATTGACAAATGAGCTTCATACATTTCAGCTGTGTTTGAGAGACTCCAGGCTATGATGGAGAACCAACTGGGTGTCACGTGGGAGTGACTTGGAAAATGCAAAGGGCAAGCAGAGCGGGGTAGGAGAGACCGTGGGGTGGGGAGGGCTGGGAGGTGTTGGAGGAGGGAGAGAGACTCTGAGGGCCAGTCCTCGGGAAGAGGAGAAAGGTAGATGCAGGTATTCCCGCAGAATTTCCCCAAACTCCAAAGTAGCTCATTCATTCCAAATGGAGCCTCTTAGTCTAGCATCCCCCACCCCTACTGCCCCCTCCTTTTCTTCCCCGTCCTCCGAGGTCAGCCCCCCCCTGCCTTCCCAAGCTCCTGTGGAGGAAGGATGTTTGCGTGCAGGCGAGGATGCTGCTGCCCCTGCTGGTCCCGGGCCGCTGTTCAGTGTGTCTCCAGGTTGCCAAAGCTGCTCCTCTGGGCTAGTGTAGCTCCCTATTTTAGTCATTTCATTCCATTTAGATTTGGAAATAGCCCAGATCCCCAAATTAAAGAGCTATGTTAGTTTAAAATAGCATAGATCTCCAAATTAAAGAGCTATGTTAGTTTAGGCAAGAAGAATGAATAGGCTTCTACATTGTGTTCTTCTCTTCTATAGAAAATAATTTCCTGGGCCAGCGGGTGGTGTGGCAGTTAAGGTGGCTGGATCCCACATGGCCGACCACAATGTTGGAGTCCCAGACCCAGTGGCATGAGAGTCACGCTGGGCACATGTGCATGTGTGCAGTCTTGGAGTCCCAGACCCAGTGGCGTGAGAGTCACGCTGGGCACATGTGCATGTGTGCCCAAAATCCCAGGAGGAGAATGGAGGAGAAGGAACTACGACATGGTCATCCCCCCAGGGGGTGATTTCTCATTTTTCCTCTCTTACTCTCTGACTCTCTCTGGACTCTTTGTCTCTCTCTGGTGAACACGTGTCCTATAGAAAAAAAAAAAAAGACAATGACTTCTCAGTGTGAGTGTACCTTTGCAAGGAGGGTTAGGAACGTGAACCCCACTCAGCTGGTGTCCCTGCAAAACCATGCCACACAGCAGTAGGCAGTGCAGCCGTCTGAAGGAAGTAAGGACATCAGACGGGAGCCTGAGTCAGATAGGCCTGAGTTTCTGACACGCGATATGCTTCAGAGACACTTGACCTCTGCTTCCGGATGTTGACAATTAGCAGAGTTTTGTCTAAACAAGTGGGTATGGCATTTGAAACCAGAAAGGTTTCACACACACAGCAAGTTCAGTTCTGAAGCGGAGCATAAAATAAAACAAATGGTCCAGACTTTGTATCAATTGCTTGGGGGAAGATGGTTTGAATTAGGGAGCCCTGTGTGAACCAGAGCGGTCTGTGAACGTGAGCCGTAATTAAGGAAATCGACAGCAGAATTCAACTCATGTTTGAAACCTCAGTGAGAAGCACTAGCCAGTGGTAACTCGAGGTTGGGAGGAAAGGAGACCTGAGCGGCCCCACACTCCATTCTCAATTAGGCCAGGATGTTTTCATTCTCCACTCCTAAATCAGTTCCTTGTCCTAGTATCCCAGAGGCAGCGCTCAGACGGAGGAGAGGTGCGTTCAGTCCCAATCCCTGCTGGCCTTATTTTCGGTCCTTGATCACATCTCTCTTTCTTTTCTTTTCCTACTGCCTCCCCTTTTCCTCTCGTCTTTCTCCTCTCTCGGCTTCACGTCTGCTGTTGCCTGACTTGCGTTGGCGCCTCACCCCAGCTGTGTCTCTGCACCTCACACGGTCTCCCCCGGGCCCGTTCGTCATGTCTCCAATCTGCTCATCCACTTTTCAGCCCGGGCTTTGTTCCTTTGGGTGGAACAGCTTCCCATGGCGCTGGGTCTTCGGGTTAGGTCCTCCACATGATGGTGGCCTTAGGCATGCTAGAGGTAGTTATAATTTTTGTATATTATTAGGTTTTTGTCATACAATATGTCCGCTCATCAGAGAGACAGAGAGACAGTGAGAGGGAGAGTGAGAAATCACTCCCTGGGGGGTGGGGGGATGACCATGCTGCAATCCTGTCTCCTTCACTCTCCTCCTGGCATCTTGGGCATGCACGCACATGCAGCCAAGCGTGATTTTCAAGCTGCTGGGTCGGGGACTTGTACTGCAGTCCACCATGTGGAAGTCCAGTGCCTTACCCACCATGCCCCCTGCTGGCCTGAGCAGTTGTGTTCTTTAGGAGATAACTATTGCCATACCAGGGTGCATGCTTTGAGTAGCCCCAGAAACCTCCGAGGGGCTTGTTGCAGGACTAACCAAACCTTATCTGTTGGTTATAGAGAAACCCAGTGAAAAAGGATTGGTGTTTTATGGTCGTCATTATTACTGGCCTCTGAAGAGTCGAGGGGTCAATAGAGAGAACCTGGCTTCCTTCTAATCTCCACGGCTACACCTTGGAGCCACCCTCTGGTGACGAAGTCTCTTTGGTTTTCTTTGGTACCCATTTGTGCTCTGGGGTCTCCACTCAATCCCTCTGACCAAGGGAAGGCTATGTTTTTGTTTATATTTCTGTTTTGGTCAGAAAGATACCCTTTATGACTTAGAGCCTAATCCTGGAAGAAAGTGACTTTGTCTTCAAATGACTCCTCCAACACCTCTTAGTCAACTATTTACATGTGCCGGTCACTTTTCTAGCACTAGACGTGTGGCATGTCATTTGTGTCTTCCCCAATCTTACAGGGTAAGATATTACATCTGTTTCTCAGATGAGAGAGCTTAGGCCCAGTGAGCATGGAGTTTGCAGGGTCACAGAACTGGCAAGTGGCAGACTCAGGACTTGAACCCATATCTGCTGGCTCCTAAGCCACTCTCCCACTGCACCTGGTGCCTGGTGGCTTGTTTTGCAGGGTAGTGAAGTCTTATTGTCTCATTCCTTCTCTTGATCTCCTTGGTCATCTTATTTCCCACCCTCTCCTTGATCCCGAGCGAGTTGGTACTACTGAGGATGTGTGTGTATGTGTGTGTGTATGTGTGTACATGTCCCTCATCTATCTCATTCTGGGGCAGTGTGCTTCCTGCTCTCTATTCTGATTAATTTGAAGAAAAGTTTAGATACATTGTTACAGATTCCATCCCTAACAAACCTTTAGTGGATTCTCAATGTGTTTAAATATAGAAAGACTATCTTCCTGAGATGATGCACAATTCAACTTAGGATGTAAAACTGCCATGGAGTGAAGCCTCAGGCCTCATGGAGTTGAGGAGGGAGGGTATTGGTGGGTCTCAGTCAGCCAGGGATAAAAAAGAGGTGAAATTTCTGCAGCCTATTTCTGATCATCTTTAAATTGATAACTAACTCATAAAGGAATCCCACTTTTGTTGCTGTGGTATCAGTAGCAAGTTCGTTGTTTTAATTAAAGTTTCATGATTAATGTCAAATCCCTGGTTTCACGCTGACACTTTCCATCATTCATGTCTCTGGGCAGATTAATTTATGACTTTTTAAGTGAAGATAATCAGTGCTTTAGGCAAATAAACTATTCCATCAAATCCAAGGATTCTCACCCGGGCTGATTGTACAAATGTCTGACTCCCATTAAAGCAGAACCAGATAGATACACTATTGACTGCCCCATGGATCATCGTCAAACTCTGAGGGCACTTTGGACATGAAGTTCATTGTCCTTGTTGGAAACATCCCTAGCCACTTTCTAGGCCGTATGGAAAACAGGCAGATTTCATCCTGAACCGTATCGCTGGTGCTTTGGAGTGCTCGGAAACGTGCAAATCGCTCCATTCCTGTGCTAAACCCCACTCACTACACAGGACTTATTTTTCCATGGGAGTCTTTTCTTCCTCCTCCCACCCCCTGAAACATTTATTTATCTATTTATTTGTTGCAATTTTCAAACCTCCTAGTCCGAGACTCAAACCATGGTCAGCCAGGCAGGAATCCAATATCTTAACCACTACGCCACCGGCTGGCCCCGCATAGGAGTCTTTGGAAACATTGAGCCACGTTGTGTGCGCTGATGTGAAAGGCTGAGCAGTCCAGACGGCCCCGGATGGTCTTCTTATTGACAAATGGAGCAATACATTTCCTGTTATTACTCAGCTGCCCCACCCCACTCCCATTTTGAAAGCCAAAAGTAGGACATGTCTTCCTTTCTGGCACGAAATCGTTTTACTTTATCACAGCCAGTCTCACTGTAAATTCATAAACTCTTCTAGAGACTTGATAGTCAATTAACGATGTTGCCAAACAATAATGTTTCCTGAAAATTATGAGCAACTTTATTGCAGAAGGGACCAGAAATTGAAGTATCTTTAGGGTAGATTTATTTCCCTATCCTGGGATGACAGGTGAGTGAGGGGGGGTCGCGCTGGCCTTCGGTAAGGGTAACGTGTGCAGAACAGATACTGCCTGCCCTGGACTCCCAGGCTCCTCGAGGCCGCAGTGTGTGTTCCGAACCGCGGCTGTTGCTGACATATGCAGCTCGAAAGCTGGGGCTTCCAGGGCCCGCCTGTTGCATTTTTAATCATAAAGGAGTCTGGACTTAAATTTTTCATAACCAAACTCACCTTGTATCCCTTACATGTACTGCGTATTAGCTTGCCTTTCTGGCGTGATGGTGGCAGCTGTGTAAAATATTTGTGTTGCTAGTTTAGAATTGAATTGTCACCTTCGACAGCGAGCAATTTCTGCTCCAGTCGGAGCTGCCAGCTCCCGAGCTCTCCCCTCCTTGTCAGCGCATCTGAACTGCAGGAGAGATCGGTACCCCAAGCGGAGCAGACAGAGCTATCCGCATGCAGGAGGAGGAGCCTGTGTCCAATAGCGGCCGCATTCACCTCTGTCTCTGGTTCACGGCTGACTCGTCTAAGACGGGGCTTGCTGAGCAGTGGCTGAGCGCGGTCACTTTTCCATCTAGCCCCATCGCAGTACCCAGATGAGAACACAGTATTTGTTGAAACATTAAGGCGCTTATTCCATCCCATCCCGTCCCTCTTTGCCTCTCTCCTTCTCTCCCTCCTGCCTTTTCACAACCCTCACACTAATCTTTGGGCTTTGCTTTCTAGGCAAAGCCGGAAAAACGCCAGCTCTGTCTCCCAGGACTCGTGGGAGCAGAACTACGCCCCCGGGGAAGGCTTCCAGAGCGCGAAGGAGAGCCCCCGGTACTCCAGCTACCAGGGCTCCAGGAACGGCTATCTGGGGGGGCACGGCTTCAACGCCAGGGTTCTGCTGGAGACCCAGGAGCTCCTCCGCCAGGAACAGAGGCGGAAGGAGCAGCAGATGAAGAAGCAGCCTCCTGCCGAGGGACCCAGCAGCTACGACGCCTACAAGAAAGTCCAGGACCCCAGTTACACGCCCCCCAAGGGGCCTTTCCGGCAGGATGTGCCGCCCTCCCCGTCTCAGGTGGCGAGGCTGAGCAGACTGCAGACTCCCGAGAAAGGGCGACCCTTTTATTCCTGAGCGTCAGAAGGACAGAGGCTTCAGGTCACGCAATAAAGGACATTTTCCGACGAAGACTTGCATTGGGGGAGTCTTTGAAAACCTCGATGGTACTATGGGATGTTTCTGTCGTTGGTATCAGTGCCTTTAAGCAGCAGGGGCAAAGCAATGGAAGGCCTTAATGTCTTTGCCGCCATGTTTCAAGTGTCTGTTTCACGGAAGGGTTTCCCATGGCCTGACAATCACCTGTTGGAGGCCTTCACACTGCCTCTCCGTGGGGTGCCGGGAGTCTGGCTGACACGCGCCAGGGCAGGTCCTGCTGTTTAGCCTTGTGTGAATCGCGGTGACAGAATCCCTCCAAGTCAGGGAGATGCCGATCCCTCCTTCCCCTCTAAGCTCTCTTAGCTCTGAGGCAACCTCTCGGTGTCTGGTGGATAAAAGTGGGTGTCGTGTGCCAGAACTTGGGGTGCCATGGTACTTCACAGCACTGTCTTTTGTAGAGCTTTCTAGTCAGCGTGGCTTCCCCTTTTCTTTGTCAGCCCCTCATGCCAGGAAAGCCCGCCGCCCTACTGAAGAATCTAAGCCATATTGCAACAGCTTGGTTACCCTGGGGGCCCTTCGTAACTGCCTTATAGCTCAGCATCACCGAGCAAGTGACATCCCGGTCTGTGCGTATGGAGACACTTGTTCGGTCGTGTCGCGAACACGTGTGAGTCACTGCAGCTCTGTGCAGGGAACATGGGAGAGGGGAGTGACCCCCAGGGGAGGACCGGGCCTGCCCGCCTGCCTGCAGGAGGTGGGAGCTGGGAGCTAAGAAAAGAATCCTCCCAGGAGGAGCTGGTGCCTCTGTACCGCCCAGGAATTATTTTAATTAGTTTTTGTTTTGAAAGGTTGGCCGGGAGGGCACAGAGTGGGACAAAGCTGTATCATACAGGTGTTTTGGGTTGGGAAGGCTGATGTGCTGCGTTTCTCACGTGGGTTGAGGATGAGCTCCATCTAGAGCACCCACATCTGTATCTGCCTGGTGCCGCCACATTGCTAAATACTTCCGCCATGAAACATGCCAGACAATGGAGGGAAAAGCCATCACAGCACACGGAGAACGTCGGGGCGTCCCACCCCAGTAGGAACGAAACGATGGCTCCTGGGTGGGTCGCGAGGACCTCGGCAGGTCCGTTAGCATCTGTCGGTCTGACAGCCCGTGTGTAGACCATGGCTGAGTTGTTAAAGTGCCTGTGAATCCCTATGTGAAAGGAGCTGGAGACGAAAGCTCAGCATACTGTGTATTAACAAAAAAGAAAAGAAAAGACATGTATTGATATGCCTATTTTTGGTTTTTTTTTACTGGCACATTGTATTTTTGTGTCGACTTGTTTTTAGAAAATATGTGAAGTGTCCACACACGCACCTGTGTGTCTTTTGCATCTGTGTGCTGGGTCTTTGTCAGTGAAGTGTGGCGATGTTCCGATGGTGTCGCCAGTGTACGCGTGGTGACCTCGACGACAGTGGTCCTCTCAGCCGTCACTGAGCTGAGAGACAACTTTCCCTGTACATAGGAGACTTCTAATAAAAGGCATATTTCTTCTGGGTCTTGGTGGTTTTGTAGTATTTCTGCGGAACCTCTCCTAGCTAGGTTGGGTTTTTCGTTTGTTTGTTTTTAAGTAAATTAAAAGATGTGATTTTATATATAAATATATTTAGAGAAAACTGAGAGTCCTCACATCTGTCTGCGTGCAGACACGGAAATGGGTGATTGATTGCCTATTTGAAGACCTGAGGAGAGAAAGGTGAGAAAGAGAGGAGATAGGGCCTTCTCACTGAGTCACTGGAAGGTCCCAGGCTTCCCGCCTGGGCTGTTCTGAATCCAACGCGCCAGAACCCTGGGACTAAATGAGAGAAAATTGTACAGAACTCTCAGTAGCCTTTCTGTTGTACATTCACTTCCTTTGGATCATTTCGGCAAGCCAAGGGATTTTTTTTTTTTTTTAAGAGAGATTTTTGCTGTAAGGCATGTGCACTGGCTAGAAAGACAGAGAGAGAGACAGAAGGGGAGATATAACCCCCCAGGGGGGATGGCCATGCCACAATCAGTATTTTGGGCATGCACACACACACACCAGGTATGAGTTTTAAGCCAGTGGGTCCAGGACTCGAAGCACAGTCGACTACATGGGAGTCCGGCGACAGAACCATTATGCCATCTGCTGGTCCCAAGCAGAGGGTTTTGACTGAATCCTTGTGGCGCTGCCCAGACGGCGAGCCCTGCAAGGACCCAGAGAACTGCCTCTGTGTGGAGGGCCTCATGTCAGCTGCTGGTCTAGCAGCCTCATCCTGTCACTGACCCATCTCACCTTGAGATCAACAGACAAGGAAACCCGCTTCTTTGGTCCTTCTGTGCATGCCAGGTGTGGAAAAGTGGAACAAGGAAGGTGGACAGGTTGGTTCATTTTCTCACTGACCAGGAGGCCCATTGCAAATGCCAAAACACACAGGTTACTTACCCCGGCTGACAGGGAGAAGCAGAGTGCGAGAGGTAAGATTGGATGTGGGCACCCAAATCACACGGGGGTTTGCAGATTCGAGCTGACAATGTGAGCCACACTGGGCAGACAAGTAGCAATGGATATTGGTTGGATAGAGGTGACATCTGCTCCATGACACAGTCCCATCTAAATGACCTCGGGATGCAGAGCCCTTCCCAGGACTGGAGGGAATCTCCCAGAAGAGCGTGTTCCGAGGCAGAGCCAGGTGGCTCCTGGAAGACCCCACTGGGCTCCCACGGGGTTCTCCCCAGCAGCCTGCCAGACAGGCCCCCGTGCCGTGAAAGGGGCGGCTGGGGACCGGAGCCCACACTCATGTGGACAGGAAGTGCAGCAACCTGTCTCTGCCCGGGAAAGGACGCCCCCCCCGCCCCGACATTCCTGCCCCCTTCGTCCATTAGGTCTATGGGTGGTCTTAGAAATACTTAGGTTAAAAGTGTAAAGTATTATAAAATCAGCGTTATATAGCCCATCTGGATTATATGTAATTTAAGAGCCACCACTCAGCCTCTCCTCTGAGGTTGTCCAGAACAAAGGCAGCCTACAGGTAAAACACCCAGGCGCAGGGCTGTCCCACCATCACGGAGGAACTTCGGGACCCGGATGTCTGCCAAGTCAGATCAGAGAGTAAACAAAATGCACTTTCTGATGCACCGAGTTTTATTCTACACCCTTTTGGAAGGGGTGGAAAATAAGCAAATGGATTGACCGCTTCATCAACAGCGTGCTTCACGATGTGCCTGAAAATGAGGAGGCCAGACCTGAGAGCGGGGGCATGGGGCTTCTCTGTCCTCATCACGGCTCTTGGGATCCCCAGTACAGCGGTCATCCTCAGGACTGCACTCCCTCCGAGTCGTTGCCATGAGAAGTACGCGTGCTTGCGTGTGCGTGCACACGGTGCTTTGTTTGCTCGTGGGAGAGCCAGGCAGTACGGCTCCGCCAACCACCTCGGAGTGCACGCCCTCACAGACGGCCTCCGACTAGCACGGTGTGCCAGAAATGTAAATGTCTACTTAACACCCCCCTTTTTCCTCTTCCTTTCTGGAACAAAGACTACTCTGATGACATGGCAGGTAAGGAGATAATCTCGCCTCACTTCGGAGGCAGGGTATCATCTAATAAGCAGCTAATAAGCGCGTTCGCAGGTCAGAAAGTGAGAGTGACGGACCGCTTTGATGGAAACCTTCGGCTCTGAGTGGTGATTAGATCACAAAAGCAGGTTGAATTCCATTGACTTTTTTTTAATGTTGGGGGAATGAGGGTTGTAATTCTGAACCAAGTTTTTCTTTAAAAAAAGAAATAAAGTGATCATTCTTCAGAGCATGAGGGAGACCGTCATTGTGTGCCACGCAGAAGAGCTCACTTCTCCATTGGGTGGCTTCTCCCCTCCTAAATCCTCCCTCCAGTCAGCCCTCGCCCGCTCCTCCTCCCTCAGCTTCCATATCCCACTCAGCAAAATACAAATCTGTGGGTTTCTTTACCCATAAATCTAATTTCTTTGGTTTAAACCTTACAGAGGGAATTGCTTTTCTTTTCTTTTTTAGCCATAGGGCACGTGCATTCATAGGAAAGACGCGATTATGAGAGGGACAGTGAGAAATCAGCCCCTGGCGGGGGATGGCCGCCCCACAATCTCTTTTATTGGGATTTAGGGCACACACGCACATGCACCCAGTGTGATTTTCAAGCCACCAGGTCCAGGACTTGAACCACAACTCCCATGTAGGAGTTCAGAGCCTTAACCACTGTGCCACCTGCTGGCTCCCGAATTTCACTTTTAAAAGAGTCCACTATGGGGGAACCAGCAGTTAGCATAATGGCTATATCGCTGGACTCCCATGTAGTCAACCGCGGTTTGTGTCCCGGACCTGGTGGCTTAAAACTCACACCGGGCGCATGTGCGTGCGTGCCCAAGATCCCGAGAGGAGAATGGAGGAGAAGGGATTGCGGCGTGACCATCCCCCCTGGGGGGTGATTTCTTGCTTTCTGTCTCTCTGTCTCTCTCTGT